ATTGCTTCACAGCTGTGTCCATGTTGAAGTGACGATTTACATAATCAGCTAGCGTTCCTTGTGAATGCGTTTTCATACTTGGGTAAACCACACTGAAAGAAATGAATTCACATTTTTGTTCCCCATGACTGACATGTTCACAGATTGTTTCTTTCATTCAACAATGAATTCAAGTAAGTCTGCATCTGATCAGTAAGCATATTGATAATGTGACTGGTATTGCTTTAATATTGAAAATCTAAAAAATGTAAAGAGCATGGAGATATTGTTTAGGGAAGGGGGACAGGGGAGAGCACCCCATCACAATATGCAATTTTAAAGGGCAATCCCACCTTTGTCTTAACTTCATTTGTGTGAAAGAAAATATGACCCTTGACCTTTGATGTACTCATCCTAAAATCTAATTATCACATCTCACTACAGTGAAGCATGCTTACACCAAGTTTGAAGTTAATGGCAAAAATGGGTTCTTGAGATACAATGTATCGCAATAACAGGGCTAAAATATGGAGATTCGTGGAAATTTACCTCCATCTCTATGACCTGTGAAATTTCACCTTTTTACCTCAAAATCTCATCAGATGTTCTTCCTATGGTGATACATGTACATGTACATAACATGGACAGTATACCGTACAATTTAGTTTGAAGTTCATACATGTATGTGTGTACCTCAAGTGGTTCTTGAGATGTCGAGATAATGAGAAAGCAGGATGGATGTACGGATGGACAGACAATCCAAAAACATAATGCCTCTGGTACCATCTTTGGTTGGCGGAGGCATACAAATCAAAATCAGTCAAATTTTGTGCTAAAATGGGCCACAAAAATGTTCATTTAGTGTTGAACCCTGGACTAGTGGACTTTTTTTTGTGAATGACATACCGGTGCATGTTGGACAACATCCGTTAACTCAATTGAAAAGGCAAACACGTTCTGTTAAATAAGGGGAAAAAATATTTTAACATTTCAGGATCTACAGTACTTTTCAAGCTTGCTTGCATGAAAATAACAATCTTCAATTTGTTTTGCATTGAAGTCTGCAATTTTTTGCAATTTTTTTTTTTTTTTGGGGGGGGGGGTGGGGGCTATTTTATATCTTTCGGGGGCTCTTTTTGGCATTTCTAGGGCTAATTCGCCCCGAGCCCCCGTGTATTTTTTTCCCTGCCATGGAAAAAACAATAACAACAATACATACGGTACACATACTGTATATTTACAAAAGGAACAAAATAGTTTCTCCAATTATTTGCAAGTGAAAGGAATAATGGTTGCAAAACTAGTTCTTCTGCCTGAACTTATATTTCTTTCTTCAAAAGTGATAATAACCGAACTTTGCATTTGTAGATATCAACCCCCCCCCCCCCAAAAAAAAAGTATATATTTTGTGGGTGTGGGAGAACATTCACTATGTAATACAGAGGAGGTTTACGTGTACATATGTTGACTGTACAAAGAGCAGTCGTTATTTAGACCTAGCTCCTATCCATGTAATTCTGCTTTGGTTTGTAGGGGTGACACTGCATTCTTGTGTAAGGTTTCACCCACTTGGAGCCTTGGATGCTGGATGGCTTGGAATGGATACAGCACCCTCATATCATGGGACTGAACACCCCCCTCCCTCGTTCAGACGAACCACCCTCATCGTTTTTGTCATAGAGAATCGTACAGCTACACGATAAGAAATAACCTCTTGTCCTAGTCTGGACTTCATATAAGGAAACATCGTATACCCAAACAAACTTTTGAGGCTGTTAGCATTGTTTTGAAATCAAAACTTGATAGAGATTCAGGGTCCTGTTTTCGCCTGATCATCATCCCAAACGAGAATCATATTATAAGAGGGCAGGGTTTATAAGAACGTGCACAGGCACACTGATGATTGACCAGCTGCCAGTCAATTGACTGCTTCAAAACTAGTTTCTTTTTAAGGCATTTCATAAAAACGTTGTCTTTGTTACTTGTATCGTCGGTATGCATTTACACTATATAATGTTGTTATATACGTTTCTTTAAATACAAGTTTTCGTATAAAATGTCCTCTGGTCTGAAGGGGCTATCATAATGTACTGGCCTATTATAATGTACTGGGATATGGCAGTCTGCCTGCCCAGAACACGGTTGGAAACCTTGCGACAGAGCCAAGCAGGCAATCGCCTCACTGCGACACTGCCTATGATAAATACTGACTTCCACAGGCCCTCTCCATGCAGGTCAAATAGGCCACTTCCAGCAATGACTAGCCTTTGCACCAGACACGAATGAAACTACCCAGTTTGTGTGTAAAGTTGTACATTGTATGATATTCAGTAAAATGTAAGACAACTTGCATCCAATCGCTGAATAAAGCAGGTACTTTCTGTAACATTACAGACTATATAGATTACTACAGGTTGATCAAATTATTGCTCTGATGTGAATAAACCTCTACAAAATGTACAAGAATATGACTGCCTTATGTTACACATCTCCATCTACAAGTACAGTATAATTACATGTACATGTATATTCAATTAATAAATAACTGTGATATTACAAACTTGACCTCATGAACCCAAAAATTATTCAGGTCATATACATGTACATGTACATGCACACTGTATGTAGATGCTTGAGCCAAGTTTGGTAAAAAAAATTGCCCGAGCGGTTCTCAAGCTGTCACAGTGATTTCATAAGCTTTTCTACTCTTTAATAATACTGTGACCTTTGACCTACAATCAACTACACCAATAATCTTAACAGTTCCCCTTTTTATACTTACTGAGCCAAATTTTATTAAAATTGGCCAGATGGTTCTCAAGATCACAGTATCAAGAAATTTTCATAAGATTTTTTATAACACTCAACCCTGTGACTTTTAACCTTTGTTCTCTTAAAAGTCTTCAGACTTTGGTAGGTCATCTTTTCATACTCATACAGGTGTACATTGTACACTATAAGTAAGCTAAGTTTACTTGATTTCTTGTGGAGACAAATGGAGAAATAGATGGACGGACGAAAAGACAAATGTACATGTACAGACAACCTGAAAACATAGATCTGTACATGTTGGAGTAATGCCTCTACGGCCCTCTACCACTACGGAGGCAGAAGCATTTATAAACAAAGTGGGAATTTCCCCAAAAGAACATTTAAAAGGTTAACATACTTAATGGAACCAAATGGAAAATCTTGGTTGTGTTATAGTTTTAAAAGCTAATAAAAATCCCATTTACATTGCAGGAAAACAGATTTGAAAAACCATAGGTTTTTTAAAACTACTTTTTATACTTCTGGAAAAACCCATAAAACTTGGCCACCTACATTAACTGTTGGTAGTTGTTAAAAAAGAAATTTCAGCTCTGCATGCGACTTCATTTTCTAAAGTATGGTTGTTGCTAACTTATTCATGTACAAAAATAAGCATGCCAGGAGAAAAAAAGTTGTTGGCTGCCCCAAAGACTAAATGGGTCCTATTTTGAGAGCTACATGTGCATGTTGTACATGTACATAGAACCCAATGAGACATAGTCAGCAGGAGTAAAAACAAAACTGAGGGAATTGCTCAGTACATGTACATGTATGCTCCATATGGCTCGTGAATGGAACTCACTTACTGTACACATCCCAGTTTAGCTGTATGATAGCTGCCATCGGGATTATCTCTACAAGTAACAAGTAACAAGTAACAAGTAACAAGTACAGTGCTCTAGTGATTGAAGAATGAAGCCTACACAACCCATAATGTGCACTTTTCTACAATTTCCCACTTTATAATATTAATTTTTGTTCAAGCACAAAAGATTTAATTTCCTACTGGAAAATGAAGCAATGTTCATGCATGTCAGGGCGACTATCAGAATGAGTGAAGGAAATCAGCGCTTTTTAATTCAAGTAAAAAATGTTGACAGACTCCTGATGATTTTGAAATGATGATTCTATAAAGACCACTAGTGACTACCCTAGGACAACTAACCCCAGGTCAACTAACCCAGGACCACTAACCCCAGGTCAACTGCCCTGGGACGAATAACTCCTAGGTCAACTGTCCTGTGACACCTAATCCCTGGGTCAATTGTCAACTAGGACATTTACTATCTCAGCTTAATCATCCCGAGGTAAATTTGAGATTCTTGAGGGTCTTCTGGACATGCCAGATTATAATTTATTAGAATCTGATGTACATGTAGATATCTTCAGTTACTAAACAACACATACACTGTACATTTTTTCTTTTTTTAATACACTTTAAAATACCACCTCTATGACAATTTCAATACCCCTGCACATTGCACAAGTATAACAGTGACCTCTAACACTCTTTATAATATAAATGCAACTTCTATAGATGAATGCACTACTGCAATTTCCCATGAGTTTACCAAGTCTCAAGAGTTGAGGATTTAGGACTTATGATTGTGTAATATACTGGGAGACACATTATTTAGAAACTCTCTCGGTCTCCCAGCACTGACTTAACATGGTACATGTACATGTAGATGATCAATGAAACAGAATGGAGACTTGCCAAATTCTACAACCTTTATCATCAATCAAAATTTACTTTCATTCACTTCTCTTTCTTTGGGTATTTTCTGTTTTATTTATAGAATTCATTCTCCAAGGCAAAGTAAAATGATGATTTTAAAAAAAAAACACAGAAGAAATTGAAAGTGTAACATTTTCCAAACCAAACAAAAAATTTGGATTCAAAACTGTACTGCAGACAATTGCCACATTTCCACTAATACCTGTAGTTCTCCACATTCAAACATCATCACACATGTATACATCTCTCTCACTTGTCCAAATCTTTTCAAACTTTACGTAATCTGTTACTCTTATTTTGTTCTAATTCAGATTTTGTCCTCCATCCCAAAAATGTAGGCATGAGCCTGACAAAACAAAACAAAAATCCTTGGGTGCCAATGTCCCTAGAGGATCTTTACCACATCTCCTTTTTCAACATTATCTCTTTTCATGTGAGAAACCTTGCACTATGGTAGGAGTCTTCTACTTAC